TTAAAAGAAATGAAAATGATGTATATATAAAAAGAAATAAAAACAACAAACGTATACAGGAAACAGTAAAGTTTCCAATTAAAAAAAATAAAATAAATTAATAGGGTAAATATGTAATCTATCATTTTAATACATGTATAACTAATACCCACATAACTTATTCCACCTTCTACCCTGCATAACTTTATACATAGATTCCCTCATAAGTTATGTTGGTATTAATTATGTAGGACTACAAAAAATGCAACCAAACACCGTATAAATTAATACATGAATAACTTTTATACAACATTTAAATTCTTACCAACCAAACATGGTATAAGTTATGTTGACTTTTATACCTAATACAAAACTTCTACCAAACACAGTAAAGCTAATGCAACTTTTTATACATGAATAAGACACTTCTACCAAACACAATAAAGTTAATGCAACTTTTTATACATGAATAAGATGTCTCTTATACAGTAACCAAACGACCCCTTAGTGACTTGTTGGAGGCTTAATTCTTATGATACTCTTCCTAGAAGATGGTCATGAGATTGATTAGGTGCTCTTTAGGTGTATTGTTTTTGTGTTGTTAATGGTAATATATACATTTGTTACCAAAAAAACACTGACACAATTGGAGCTTTCAAGATGTATCTTTTAAGAGGCCTTATGTTTACCCAATTCCCCAATCTTTATTGCCTTCAATTAGAAAATTCTAAAGTTTGATTTGTTCTTGATTTTTCAATACATTGTAACTAAAGTTCAGTTGTTTTCAATGTTCTAAAAGTATTGTAAGAGCCATATAGGTTCAAGGGCCATTGAGAAGCACCAAGTACAATTCTATGTACTTTTAGAAGTGATGAGACGGTTCTGTGTCATACGATTCGTTTGTTTGTGTATACGATTTCTGTATACAGAAACTTATTCATACACAAAACTTGAGAGAATGATCATTCAACAATGCAAGAAAATTAATGCCACAAATAGGTGTAATGAAATTTTGAAGTTATGTTATGCCACGGGTTAGCTTGGGATCACGTGTGGTTCCAAGTACCGTGTCTCGGCTAGGATATAGACTCGGGTCATGACAAATATATCAAGAAAAGTATGTGGTGCAGAAGTATTTTTACCATAGTATGTCTGTTGGAGTCTTTTTTGAAAGTTCACATCATAAGAGTTGGCTTCAACTATACCTATGCTTTTTCTCATTGAATTACAGTCTTAAATGATCTTGTAATGCTCTAGTACTACAGAATTATAGAAAACATTCATTGTTCGTCTTATGGAGTACTGTAAATCATCATATGTTGTTCTTGATTATAAGTTTGTAGACAAACTATGGTACATATGTCTAAGAAATCATACTACCTCAACAAAAGGGAACAATTCTGCAACATAATAAGCCTTTCGACGGGCATAGGACATATGGATACAACCAATTTAACATACGCAAACAACTGAGAAATGTAAACAAGATCATTAAGAGAGAAATACAAAGTTTCAGATACTGAACATAAACTTAAAATGAAAATGAGAAGTAACCAAAATACTTGAAATTTCTGGTGAAAAGCAAGTCTATCTTGTGATATGCGCTATAAAAGAATCCAACTCTATTCGAGAAGAACCCCCCTTCTCTGTGGAACGCCTAATGGCTTCTCCCAATTCTTCTGCTCTTTTCCTAATTGCATCACCTTCTTCTGATGCCATCAGCTTCCTCACGACATTCTCAATAGTGGATGCACTAACTAGCTCCTCGTGTTTGTCCCACTCTCTCACAATCAGGCCTATTTTCAACATTTCCGTCACCAAGAAACCATTGTTTGGCTGGTCACCATGCATAGGCCAAGCAGCTATTGGTACCCCCATAGTAATACTCTCTAGGAAGGAATTCCAGCCACAATGACTCATGAACCCGCCTGTGGAAGAATGTGCCAAGATTTCGGGTTGTGGTGCCCATTCTCTCAACACTAACCCGACGCCTTTTACTCTTTCCTCAAATCCTTCTGGCAACTCAAATTTTCTAGCTTCCCCGATAAAGATATCTCCTCTATCAGCTTCTCTTAACATCCATATGAACTTCTGTTTGCTTTGTTCTAATCCCATCGCGAGCTCCATGACTTCTCTATCAGAAAATGTAGTTGATGTTCCAAATGATATATAAAGAACTGATCTCGGAGATTGTTTGTTCAGCCATTCCAAACATATATTGTTCCTATTCGAGATATGATTGAGTTTAGTAGGCAGAATTGGTCCAATTACCCATTGTTGTTTACTATCTACTTGTGCCAGCAGATCAAGAAACTCGCCTTCAATTAAATTGCTTGTATTATGGATATCACCTGATCTAATATCCATATATAGTCTCTGAAGAGCTATAAAGCTATTGAATTCATCAGGCAGCGTTCCTTCAAGGGGCGGTAGCTTTTTAAGCAATTCTTCTCCAAGTTGGACAGACATTCCACTAAATAAGAATGAAGAACAGTACGAATTGAAAGCTGAAATGCAATTAAATATTATGGATTCAACATTGGGCAAGGAAGAAACATCCTGAACACTATATGACATTAATAAATCATGAACAACAATGACTCGTCTTGATTTGGAGGAGATATCTCGTAAAAAGGAAGCAATGGGATCGCGTTGAAGCAAAGATGCATCCCATAATGGCTTATGATGTAATGGGAATTTTCTCAAGACAGGTGGAGGTGAGGAAAATTCAGGAATGGGAATGTCATGGAAGTGAATTTTGGCTATATCTGAAGGATTTAAGGCATTGGCTCGAAGGCGAGCTTGACGGTTAAGTGTGACAGAGCCAACATAATAAACTGGAAGATGATATAATGAGGAGATTAAACAGGAAAGTTGAAGAAGTTGATTGAGATGGCCTTGAGCTAGAAATGGAACCATGACTATAACTACTTCATGGTTTGGTAAATTCTCATAGCTACCACACATGGAAGTAGAATGATTGGAATTTCCTACTTCTGTTGGATCCTCCATGTCTCCTGATTGAGTTTTTGTCATGGGAGAAGCAGGGTTAAGGGTTATATATTCAACTTTTTTGTATGTATGATGTGAGAGGATAGGATGAAATTTTTTATGCGTAACCCTCTATTGATTAATTGATACTTGGATAATGTGTCTATTTCTTTACATTTTTACCATCTCTCCTAGTCACCCTTCTTTTCATTCATCTACTTATTTACTTATTCCTAATAAATATTTCTTAACTTCATTTTCTTAAGATGTTGATATATTGAATAAAAGAATTAATAACCATTTTTTTTTATCACAAATAACTAAAAACATTTGTAGGACTGAGTATTTAAAATACTCATATCATTCAATATTTTTAATAATATCAAATTAACTTAAAAATATTTAGTGTTTTCTCAATTACTAGCACCTAAAAAACAAATTAATTCAAATTTAGTTTTCCATATTTTTTTAATTCTGTTTTAGTTCATATATTTATAGTCATTGTTATTTTAATTCTATTTTAGTTCATATATTTATAGTCATTCTCTTAACAGAGAGTATCCGTTATTTTTCTTAATTTAAGTTATAATTTTTTTAAATACTTAATAGAAAAACGTTGAAAAATATATATTATAACTAAATGTACGTAAAGAGACGAAAAATGAATTCTAATAATATTAAGGTTGAATGATATTATTATATTATTATTATTATTATTATTATTATAATAATAATAATAATAATAATAATACAATGAGTAGTTAATTTAAAATTATATGGAACCGATTGATTCTTGAAAATAAATCAAGCATCGTAAGTTTTAATTTAAAAGACTTAAATTTCATCTGTGGTCCGCGTCACCTATATTAATTTTTTTAAAACATTTATGAGTCCGCCACTCCCTGTCTTGTTCTGTCTCGTTGTCATTCTTATATTTAAATATGGTTATGGTGAAAGAAAAAGTATGTGTAATTTCAAAATAAGATCAAAAATCAAAACAAAAATAATCTTATCAAATCAATTTATATGCCAAAGTAAATTAGTTTGTATTTTGAGTTAATTTGATTCTATTAAATATACTGAAAAATAAGTTTATTTTTAATGTTAACAATTGTATAAGTGTTTAAGTTATTTTAACAGAAAATGTATTTATCGATTTTTTTTTTATCAAATGTATTAATTATTTAATTATGTTTTGAGAATTAGATATTTATTAGGAGTAAAAAATGAAAGAAAAGAGAGGTGAGTAAGAGAGAGATGGTAAAAAGGTAAAGAAGTGGACCTATTATCCAAGGGTCAATTAATTAATGGAGGGTCACACAACTATTGTTGGTTAGACCTCTACCATTATAAAAAATTCCCTCATGTGGAGTCCCGCTGTGTCATTTTGACACTTTCTATGATTTGACACATTGGGTGTGCTGCACCCATTTTAGGCGCGTGAGGAGTATTTTTTTTAATTTTTTTTTTTTTCCTTTTTCTTCTTCAGTTTTTATCCCTACCACTTATTCCACCTTCTACCATGAATATTCATGATGAAAAATCTTACGAAATATGATAAAATAAAATTAAAAAATTATCACACTAATTTTAGAAATATTTTCAAGAACAAAATTTTAAAAAATCATCACACTAATTTTGAAAACATTTATTCGAACAAAACACACATTTTTTTTCAAAAAAAATATAAGAAGAATGTCATATTTTTCAGAACCTCACCTCACTATACATAAAATGGTTTTCAAAATCAAATTTACAACGAAAAAAGAAAAAAGAAAGATTAAAATCTAATGATTTTTGTAAAAAGAAAAATGGAAGAATAACCAAAAAATGGTGGGACGGTTGGGGAGGCAAAAATGACGGAAGTAAGGCTAATGGGGTGGGGATGGGAGTGGTACAAAATAGGTAATTTTATTTATTAATTTTATTGAAAAATAGTTGTTTTTTTATAATTTATTTTAAAATTATTATTTTTACACTAAAATGCCACATGTCAACTTCTAATTAGTCATCATGTCATGTCATTCGCAAGTGTATTACACACACTTCATAATTTTAGCTGATTGTCAAAAAAGGATCAAAATGACACAGCGGGACCGTACTTGAGGTGTTTAAAATGAACAAAGCCTACTTGAGATGTCTAAGTAAAAATTGATGCCAACTTTAAAGGGTTGTCAATGGGCTCTGCCTAAAAAGTAAAAAAAGAATACTCATCTTCCTTTTCTATATTTATTATTTATTTTAGCTTATGAAGCACATGTCAATAAATTAAAGTGCATCAAAGAATATATTCTAATTAATGTTCTCAAGAGTTCTTATATTGATGAAAACTTTAATTAGTGATTGATCTTGCTTTTATAATTTTATATGATATTTTCAAATTTATTTTTCACTAGTGAATTTATTTGCGCTTCGCGTGATGAAATTTTTTTTAATCAAATATTAGTGATTGATCTGGTGAATTTTCTATTAAGGGTGGCATGCATTTTTCCTTAAATAAAATAGATTTGAGGAATGGATTCATTCATTCTAGTCCACAAATAAATAATAGACTAATAAGATCAATAGATTATACAATATTGAAAAGTTAAATAAAAATACAGCCTCAAAATCACATACTATGATCCATCCTTTATCTCCAATTGGTGGCCCATTTTATTTTAGGGTATGAATTTTTTTTTTTAAAAAGAAAAATCATATGTGATTTTTCTCATTTAGTTATTCCTCTCTCTACTAATAAATAATAATCTCGAAAATATATTTATACTAAAATAAAACACTCTATCGAAAGTCGCATTCTTTCCTTATGAATTTCATCAATAATTAAGAAATATAGTAGAACATGAATTGTATATATCACTAATTTCTTCATGTAGGACACAAGATATTCCAATAGAGAAACAAAATCATAAGAAAGTATGTCAAAATATTAAAAAAGGACATACAAAATACTTAGGCTAGACAAGGAGGAGTAGATAAAAACAAAAAGAAATTACTGCACATACAAAATAATGAGCAAGATTAATTTTTTGCTTGATAATCTCTCATCCTACTCTTAAAATTTACATGAAGACCATGCTAGGCATTTTATAGCAGTATAGGATGACCTTTGAGTAGATAAAATTAATTTGCATTAAATCAGTTCAATGATTTTAGTCTATATCAAATTTGTTTAATGGAAAAACTCTTCAAATACTCTTGATTTTTACAGGAAAAGAGAAATTAATTATTAATATGAATTTGATTCATGCACCGATTTAAATGAGTTATTTATTAAATATTTAATTATATTTTATAACATTTGTTTTAATTATTTTAATATAAGGATAAAATGGTAATTCAACATTGAGCTTTGAATCTTCCCACTTATAATATAATATATAAATAATATATAATATAATATATATATATATATATATTTTATTTTATTTTTATAACATTTGTTTTAATTATTTTAATATAAGGATAAAATGGTAATTCAACTTTGAGCGTTGAATCTTCTCACTTATAATATAATACTAGATTTACTACACGTGCGTTGCACGTGGTGGCCTCATCTTGTCATATGATTAAGTCTAAAATAGTAAGCTACCTTTTTTGTCATAATATATTTTTGTAAGTATTAGAACAGTCTTGTATACATAATTTTACAGTTAATTGTATGCGTACTACATTATTAAATATATTCAATATGTAAGGTAATAATTTGTATGGACGTTTCTCAATTTCCAATTTTCTGTTTCTGAACAGTACTTGATTATGCTCGTCTAATCGCCTTGAATTTGATGCATGTAACTTTATCACGATGTCCACAAATAGATGATACTTTCCCGGATTTGCAAGTCATTTGTAATTACCAATATCTAAGTCTACACAATAGTTGTATTTTCTTCATAAATTGCATGTTGATGCTCAACTTTTCTCCTCTTCAACCGAACCTATCAAATACAATCAATGACATTTTCATTAGGTTCATGTAATGTGTTGGTTTTGTTCCTAATTAATTACGCTTTAAAAGATAACAATCGTCTCTTACCTAATACTTCCTTGTATACAATATTTTTTGTATATGTGCCCGTCGTCGTATCTGGTTGTTCAGTCATTATCAATACTTTTGTCGTGGTCATTGAGATTCCCCTCGATAGTGCTACATATAGCTGTCCATGGGAGAAAACATGTTACGGAAGATACAATGCAACAGTAGGGATTGTTTGACCTTGAGCTTTATTTATCGTCATTGCAAAACAGAGACGTATTGGAAATTGCTTGCGAATAAATTTTAAAGGATATCCTTCATTCTCCGGCGGCGATAATTGGATTCTTGGTATAAACACTTGTTTTGTTGCATATTCTCATGTGATTATTTTGGCATGTATGACATTGTTATCAAAACCTCTACAAATTAATCGTGTCCCGTTGCATAAGCCATTTGCTGGATCGAGATTCCTCAGCATCAGAATATGTGCATTCTCTTTCAAATATAACCTAATATATAGTATTCAAATATACATTAGTTGTTTAATATTTTACCTCAGCTTTGTTTCATCTAGTTTAGCGATTCACAGTTATCTTACAATTGCAACGCTAACATGGCCTTTTTCATTACCTTAATTGGTGTGGTTGTAATATTTTTCATTCCCCCTTTTTATGACTTCACGCCTGTATATAGGATGAGGTAAGTTAATTGTAGCATATAATTAAGGAAATGTTTGTGGTTTTTCAAATTGTTAGATTAAAGTATAGCTCAATAAATTATAGTTAGACCATAAAATTTGGCAGTGAGGTTAATGAAATATTGTCGAGCATATTAGAAGATTAACTTGTGTACCAAGTGTGAAGATCTAGTGCTTTTGGAAACATTGGATTGATCAAGTGGCTCACGGGTATAGTTGATATCCCAAAAGTGCCTAGTTTGGAAAACAACATATTAAAGTGAGGCATCAAATAATATATTCAAAAATTTTACAATTAGCATAACGAAGAGAGTGGGTATACCTCTATATTTTGAGACTCTCACGTCACATAAGCCAGGAACAGGTTGATCATCTTTCAACTTTTCCACAAATGCACCGTCGTGTATGCAAAATCTCCCCATAGAGTAACAGTTGTACGCTCCATGCTAGATTTTGAATTAGATGAGAATTGTGAATGCATCAGGAGATTTACATGGACGATCGAGAAGTCGTAATGGTAACTTACAATTCGTTTGTAACAACAATTTCACGTCTTTTGCTATCGCCGTTTACAATGATAGGATTGACCGTGACTAACATGCAAAGCAAGTCTGAATAGAGGTGAGGTGAGTTAGTGATACATATTAAGTAATTGAATGTAGAAATTTAAATACGTACTGTGAATAGTTACCGAATATAGCACCATTTGGCAATTTTTCTACGTGTTCCAAAGAAACAAAACCTTCAGAGAAGTTATGTGTTGAAACAACATGGTCACTCTCCTTTATGATTGTGTTGTCGGTAATAGAGAGTTCAATCTCTTTGTGCACAGAAGTGTAGTTGGGGTTGACCCGATCCAACAACCCATTAGCAATGTAGTAACTCTTATTTGTCTTTAAGAAGTCCTTCCATGTGTCAATATGCTTATTAAATAGTGTCGCTTGCAACTTTGTCCCCTAGTATTGATGTAATTGACATATGAGTTGATTAGAAAAGTACTATAGGGAGTAGCTAGGAATGTTAGCATATAACCTAAGCAAAACTATTACCTCGTCGTCCACTAATATTACAGTTTGGAAAGTCCATTCATAACGAGAATTCTTGTACGACATAACAGAACCCTTTCGAATAACAAATACTCGTTTAACCCAATTAACAGAGTATTTTGGTATCTTGTTAATGGAGACACTCTACTTTGATAGTTCAACTTTAGTCACCATGTGTGATGATTCTGGATAGTTAGAGGTGCCAAGGGAAAAGTGAAGTTCATTATTCATTCCGGGCCATAATGTGTCGGTGAAAAATACAGAATCATTAAGAAGATTGTAGCAATGTTACTGCAAGTAGTCCATTGAAGATCATAACAAGATGCATAAGGAGAGTGATAACTTACAATTTAAGATGTGGAGTGAAATATGTCAATGTCGAGTCCAATACTCTTATGTGTTTTGCGTAAGGAAGATCAATATTGGCCTGAGGAAGTATTGCAAAAAGGTTAATTGAATTCAAATGTGCAGATGTACGCTTGAGTAATAAAACAAGTATGGTGGTAGAAAAGGAGGAAAAGAAGGCATACCGATGCGTTATTTGCAGAAGTTGATTTGCTAATGGAGAATTTGTTGCATGTGTGGTTGATATTTATAGGGGAATATGCATAGGTTGCATTGGTTGGAGTATATATTTGGGCATTGGACAGATGCAGTTCATGGGAAACGTGGTGACTGTTCAGTCAAAGAGGACTTGGCGTTTGTATAGTAAAAGTGCTGGTTGTTTGTTGCGTTAGGTTCTTTTTTTTTAAAGTCAGGGGTATTTGTGTCATGTTTTTAAGTGAGTGAGGGGTATTTGTGTAATCTGTTTAAGTGAGGGGTATTTACGTAATTTAACATTCATCTTTTGGAGTTCATTCTTTTAAGGTAGTATAGATAGATATAGATATAGATGATTAACAATTGTAATTTCTCTTAAGACTGTAGCTTACATTTTTCTACAATTACCAAAGTTAAGTTATTTAATTATCCAATTTTAAATAGTAATGTGATATTCTTCTCATGTGAATCATTTTCTAAAAGTTATTGTTAACAAAAGTCGTCACTACTTTTATAGTTTTATTCTCTCTTTTTTATTTATTCGAAGGTTCAAGTATTATATATTCTCGAATAACGGATAATGTGAATCTCTTTGTGATATATTTATCTTCAAAAAGCTTGTAGAGAAAGACTTTGAAGATGTACTATAATATTCTCGAATAAGGATAATGTGAATCTCCTTGAGATATATTTATCTCCGAAAAAAGCTTGTAGAGAAAGACTTTGAAGATTTACTATAAACTAGTGTTGTGTATCAATAGGTTCGGTTTTGAAGTTTATCGGTTTGTAGAGATGCTAAACCGTTATCGAACCATTAAGATATTGGCTTGTCGATTATTGGTTTATCAATTTTTTATCGTTATCGGTTCGGTTATCGGTTTAACCGTTAAGATTTGACATAAAAAAAAACCATGGAAAATCACTTAGAAACAAGGTGACAAACCAAATGAACCATGCACATGAGTTCACAAGTTACATCTTGCTCAAAAGCAAACATTTTTACATTGTAGAATAGCCAAAGTGTTTGAGACAATCAGAAATAAAAGTAGGAAACCAAACTCTAAGTCAAAGACTTTAAATACAAAATGGTATAAATATAATTATTTAATTTACTATCGGGTTATCGGTTAACCCGTTAAGAAAAACCTCAAACCGTTAAGAACCGATAACCCGATAAGAAAAAAATCAAAACCGTTATCAAAACCGCTAAACTAATAACCCAATACTGATAAACCAATAACTTTTTTTCGATTCGGGTTATCGGTTTCGATTCGATTTTGAACGGCACTACTATAAACTTTGTAGAGCCACCACATTTGCTTTATCTCGATGATAGAGAATGATACAATCTTTGTTTGAGATTGAAGATGTACTATAGACTCTTATGCCACGGCCCACGTATATATCTCGCATGTAAGGTATACAAATAATAATGTCATATCTATAAGCAACTACTACCGTTGCCAACTCTAAATCATGCTCACCGTTTCGTGTATACAACAACACACAACCCACATGCAAACTTTATAACAACTACAAATGCTTCAGTCCCAAACAAGGTGGGGTCGATAAGATAGAAGTCTCACTGACCATGTTTTAGAAAGAAAATGTCACACTGTCAAAATCATTTGCTTAACATCCTCTCCCATATCAATGGGTTTAAAATTTATGAATTCAACCAAAAAAAAATGTGCATGACACAAAGGTCTTAGTTTAATAGACTTTTGGGTAAAATCAAATTTACAAAAATATTGTTCCTCTACATAGTGGTTACATTACATGGGTGTAAATTTAGCAAAACAAGCTGTCCATCTGGCTTGAATTACCCAACAAGTTGTTCTACAATTGAGATAGTTGCCATAGGCGTCTAGATTTGAGCGAAAATAAACTTTTTGTACAAAATAAATATATCAGAATGACCAGCCCGATCGTAAGTGAAACACCAAGTGATGCTTCTGAAATATTACTAATGTTATCCCTTGAGCATGCAAGGCCTGCGCGGTGGGTTACCAGTAAGATACCTGAATAAGCTTTGCATCAATCAACCGAAAATTTGTAATTTGCTCTGCTTCAATCCGGCCTTTTCTGGGCTGTTGGTCCCTCAAATGGCTGATTATATACTCCTTAAGCTGACATGTCTAAACAACAGTGTCTGGCTTCACAAGCCCTTGAAGCTTCCACCCTCCAGGTCCAGCCAGAGAAAATGCCTGAGGAGAGCACTTAAGTTAGAGAAGATCAAAGATTTCAGAAACTTCATTTTGCCACTTATCAAGCTATAAAGTCCCATAAAGCACACACAATCATCTTTGCATCTTCAGATTCGTATATGGTTCCTCACAGACAAATATTCATCTTTAAGTTGTTCTTTTCCTGTTTTTGGATTTCACTTTTCAAGAAACGGTATCCACAATTAGAAGTATCTATAAAGAGCCATATTCTCTTCAGAAATGTCTGCCTTTCCATTCGGATATGGTAATAACCTAATTCCAATACATAACATTTAATCCAAATGATGATTAGACTTCACAATATTTTAGGGTGCAAAGAACCAGTTAAGGAGATAAAAAGGAAAAAGTGAAAGATGGGAAAGTAATAATTACATATTCCAACTGTCTGAAAACACAGTCATGGATTCATGACTCTTTATAGAAGCAAAGGGAGAAAATATAGTATGAAATCAACTGACTTTCGTTGATTTGGAGCAAATTACTCAGAAATCGACCAGCACGGCCCTCCTAAATTTCGGTCACAAGCCAAACAGTCGAACCTATTTTTAGTTCACCCTCAATTTGTGATATATACTCTTAGGAGTGAATGTTGGGCCTTGTGCCACTAAAATCCAACACATCCACATGATGAGAGTCTCAGAGATGTGATACTAAAATAGATGTGTGGTTATACCATATTAGACAAGATTAAAAATGTCAATATTCATTATTCACCATAAAGTACAAGCAACACACAGTGAGGATAAAATGCGAGAAGGTTGCTTGAGATGGTTTGGTCATATCCAGATATCGACCTCCCAATGCACCGGTCCGTAGGTGAGATACCATGGTGAGTAAAGGTGTGGAACAAGGTAGACCTAACATGGAAGGAAATTGTCGCAAAAGGCCTATGATCTTTTGAAATTCATGTAGACTTAGCGATAGATAGGGCACAATGGTATGTTTTAGTCATGTTAGTATGTTACTTTAGGTAATATTATTTCTATGGAGTCTTTTAGCCTTAGTAGAGATTTTTCCGCTGATAGAAAATATAGAGAACTTCTAGTACTTATTATTTTTATTTTGTATAATATTGGGCTGATATGAATTTTAATAGGAGAAACATAATCAGTGAGGATTCATATAGCTGATCCCAACTTGTTTGATACTGAAGAGTAGTTGTTGTTTGAGTTGATACTCATTTGCTTGCAAGGTATTCGATAATTTTCGTGAACTAACCTACCAACAGATAGTTAAAGTCTTTAAAGCAGACTGTCATTTTCTGATAAGATAAAGGGAATATTTCTACACTCTAATAACAATGGAGTTGATGAAATTCCTAGCTACCAAACTACAGATAACTACCATAGATCAGATTTGGTTGACACTTGACAGGAACGAGGTTTTAATGACTGCTTATAATAGGAAAGTAGCTAGTTAGGAGTTCTGGCTAAGACAGCAGAGAATTAACTTGGGATGACAAAAGCTAGGGGGAACAGATAACAAATTTCGTTCTTAAACGACGGCAAGAAGAAAGCAGGGCTGTAAAACGATACGATAAAGTAATAACTGGCCCTTTTGGGGGTCAATAGCATTTCACTTCACAGTGGAACTCGGTATACCAACCAACCATATGCTACTTTAATGCAATTGAATTTGCCAAAGTAAGAACGGGAAAATGGAACCAGTTATTACAGATACAATACCTCTTCCCACGACTTCCCAGTGGCTTCAAGCAAAGCAGCATTACAAGTCTTTAGTTCTACAGTAACACCTGACAACACTGAGGCTGCCTCCTCCCATCCTCTATTGTGTCCCATACACCTGAATAGAGGATTAAATTTTAGTATTTTACTATGAAGCACTTTACCCAATAACTGTCAATTGACATAATGAACTGTCATTTCTCAAACCGGAGATAAAATAGAAGGTTGTACAAATCCAATAATTGTATGAGGTTAATACTTCAAGTAATGGGACAACCCTTTACACTAACTGTATGCAAAAAGCAAAGTATTTCACAAAAACATTATTACCTACAAAGACCGTTTGGTCATCACTACCGACAGAAATATCTTCTATACTCCAAAAGCATACAAAAAGAAACAATTGTAGAAAAGGGTTTTCTTTAACTCTTTCGAATGCTTTTACGTTTCTCTCATTCCCTATGATCCACGAAAGTGATTACTGATTAGGGAGCTATTTCCTATACTCTCCTACACATCTCCCAGCTGAATATCCATGCAAGTCATTTCTGTGACTCATCCAATTCAACTCCCAAAATATTATATACTGTATACCATAATTTATATATCGTAACAAGTGACTGACATTTCAAATGTCTTCCTGCACATCAAAACCAACAAATAGTATAGTTTTCTCCTCATGTTTTCTGCAATGAAGAATGGCTCCTACGTCGTACTAAAAAAATGACACCTTTCTCTGTACCCTAAGCACTTTTTCAAAATGGTGGTGGTGTATCATGGCCAACTTGCGCATATCTCGACCATTTCACTGGGTACCTGCTACCTACTTCCTTTCACTAGGACAGGAATCGAGTAACTGAACCTCAACCAACCAAGACTTCGGCAGATGGGAAAACATCATCTAGTGGTTTTCGCCTCCGCTAGGATTTGAACCTAAGACCTCATAGTTCTCCCTCCACCACATTAACCACTAGGACGCACCCGAATACATACCTAACCACTCATATCGAGGAATGAAGAAAATTCATGTCCTTCCTCTCTATTAGCCTGTTATAATATGATTTCAAAACTAACTTGCTGCCTCTCTGGTTTACATTTGCAGCTGTGGGTGAGATTTATTTGTTTGTACAATAATACAAGAAACATTTGAGCACTCCATTCTTCCAGTCCTGCAAATTTCTTATCTTTTGAAGCACCCATAATAGATTTGTATGCAATGTTTTAATGCTCTTCCATTATCTAAAATACCACCACTAAAGAATCACAAGCAGAAGGAGAACTCACATAACTGTTAAGATCTCATCCCTCGAGTATTTACATATTGCTTGTCGTAGGTGCTCAGTTGTCTGCCCATCCATTGCTGCCACAGAATAGAAGCTTGAAATAAAATGTACTTCAGCTTCCAAAAAGGCTTGAACTTGCTCCTGCATTATTTTCAGTGTTTCCTGCGTTCGCAGTGCATCACTATGCAATAAGGAAAACAAAATGATCACTTAGTTTGTTAATATCAACATAATTGATAGGCAGCTTAAAGATCTCATAGCAGACTCCCTTCAAGGTAAGTAGGTATTCTTAAAGAACCACTAACCTTGATAAAATAAGTTGTGGAATCCAGCCCAGTTTTAGAAGGTTTTGCGAGACCTTGATAGCATCAAGTTGTCCAGATCTACTCAAAGGACGATCATGATCTGCTCAAGAACGTAATGATGAAGTATTATATTAAACCTATGAATATAGCTACTTTTATGTTTATAGAGCAACACAGTAAACTTTTTCTGTAATTGTTTCTATTACAAGAGGAACATTTGCATGAGGTATGGAATGCAAGTCGTTGGAGCATCAAAATTGAGCTATGTTTCGCCCATTACAACTCACAGTTTTAAAAAACAGAATCGAAAGAGTCCTCCTTCCTGTCTCTCTACACTTCAATCCTAATTTAACCACTTCTATGAAGCAAAAGAAATTACTGTACTACTCTACACTACATAGATTACAAGAGAAAACAAACATAAGAACCAACTTCGGGTGTTCTCCTGTTTCTGCATCAGGGAAGTGCTACTAATATTTTCAAAATGAAACAAGAATATAATTCGGTTCTACAGACTTCAGTCAACAAGATTATATTCAGTTCTTCATTCGACTGCACCTGGAAGATGAAGACATAAGGAGTGACTTACGCAGGTGCATTTTTGAGAGGCAAGTCCATTACTGAACAAAAGAGAAATAATGTCGAACCCGCAGAAAAAGAAAACCATTTAGAGGTAAAAGTCATTACTTTATTGTAAAACATTCTTTTAATTTTATAATTGTAAGACTAATTCTAGGGAAACTGACTAAAGCCCTTTGCTTTATGGTAAAACTTCAAATGCACCCAGATAACTCTATGTGCCTGAATCAGAGGGTGCTCCTTTTCAATTATGATTTCCTCCGAACTAGTCACTACAACAACAACAATAAACATAATGCAATACCACAAGTGGGGTCTCCAAGGGTAGAGTGTACGCTGACCCTACCCCTACCTTAAGAAGTTACAGAAGTTGTTTCCGATAGGCCATCAGCTCAAATACTCCAAACTAGTCACTGATGAGAACAAATACTACTAGCTTGCCCAAATTTCACCAAAACCAAAAGAAAAAAGCAAAATTCTTTTTTCAATCCATACAAAAACTTAAAAGAACATTCGACACCATGTTCAACAATAGAACCCAAATTCAGTAATGAAAAGTCAGTATCGCACAAACTTAACACCTTGTACTACAGTATTATCATTTAGCTTGCAAACAGAACAGAAATCGGAGCTCCTAATTGCATACACTTGAATCATTTAGGTCATCATTCAAGGGTCTATTGGAAACAGTCTCTCTACCTTAACTTCCGAAGGTAGGGATAATGTTTGTGTACACTCTACTCTCCTCAAACACCACCAGTGTAAGATTACACTGAGTTTGTTGCTGTGGTTGAATCTTTTAGGTGCTTAGTCGTTAAAAGTACAGAATTAAACAGGGAAAAGAAAAGGGGTTCATGGATATAGCTCAAGTAATGGATTAATCCTTAAAACTACAAAATTGAACAGGGAAAACAAAAGGGGTTCATGGGTATAGCTCAAGTAATGGATTAATTCTTAAAACAATAAAACTACTGAATCTAAACAGGGAAACAGAAAAGGGGGTTCATGGATATAGCTCAAGTAATTGATTAATCCTTAAAACTACTGAATTAAACAGGGAAACATAAAAAGGGGTTCATGCATATTCCTAATCAAGCACTTTTTTTTAAAGATTTTAGTAGCTAAAGATGATTACCCCGAATAGAGCGATTCTCCCAAGAACTCTTCGCATGTCGAAGCAATATGAGTCGACGAGCAGCAACTGACGATAGGGTTGTTGTTGGGGTTTCTGTAGAAGTGGAAATCTGCTGCTGATCTTGATTGGTTTCAATTACAAGAGAACCAACACCACTACTAGATGAAGCAACCATAACACATTTTGGGTTTTTCTTGATTTGGGATTTTTTACAAGAGTAGTAGTTGTATGGTACTTGTAATGGTTCCACAAGAGATGCTACTACAACATTCATTTTCTTGGTACTTTCAATTACTCAGCATTCAAAATGATGGCTAACAACTACAAATTTCTTCTCCTCTGAGCTGAGCAAAAATGCATACAATTAATTTGCACTTCAAGCTGAGAGTTTCTTTTAGCTTAGAGTATAAGGGGTTGTTTGGATTCTCTATAATCAAAAACTAATCCTAGAAAAAATCTGTCTTCGTCCTGGATTCTTCACGATAGATTCCATTTTCCTCCTAAAAATAAATTTACTCTTTCATAAAAATAATATTTTTTCCATCTCAAATTATTTATGGTATTTGTGTTATATGTCTCTTAAGAAAATACTATTGATTAGGAGAAGTTTAGACTATTTTACTGTTATCTATATAATCACTCTTCATTAAATATTTACGTATAATCATCTCGATATTAATGTTTGTAGTCTTCAAGAAAAATCACTACTAAGGATAAACCGAGAGAATGACAAATAATTTTGAAACAACTATTTTAAAAATCACAACAAATTGAGTATTACTATCAACTTTTTGGTTATATAACATTTGACTTTCAAAATCATCTCAATCAAAATCGATATGATTCAATTAATTTACGATATTTGTAAGAGTAAAATAGAACACAATAACAATACCATGCATATTTCTATAGGACTTAGGTACAATACTCATCAAGAATAGTACATAGTTTTGTCTACAGTGTGATCTTTGGAAAAAGCTAAAGTTGCAAGGAGTTAAATTTGTCTCCAAAAAAAAGAGCTACAAACAAGTAGGATTTCCCTATAATAAGAATGTCTTCAACTGGAAACTCCATTTACATGGAATACTTTTATCTATACAATGAATTTAAACTAATTTATGAATGGAAATTCTAATGTAGCCATTGTAAAGCATTATTGAGGTGTAACAATCTTGAATCTCCCCCGCGGCCTTTACTGAGATACCAGTCGAGGGGAAAGAAATGAGGGATTATATCATTATCCCTGGTCCTTTGATAACACGATCAATCGAAGATTCTCTACAGATTGACTTTGTTTAGCTTGGCATGGGCTTGTTCTCCAAAAATGATCTGAATAGAATGAAAGCTTGACGAGGGCGATGAAGAGGCACTTCATGCCCTGCTCCTGTTATAGTTACAAGGGTTAACCCTTTGTATAATTGGCTCCATCCTCCAACCTATTCATAGAATAACGACAAGATACAAATGAAAGAATGAATTTTTCGATACTGGAGAGGAAAAGATGCAAAGGTTGTCAAGAAGAAAACAGTTTGCATTGTCCATTTATGACTAACCTTTTTATTGTCATACCAAGGGTACCAGTTTGTGATAGTTGGAAGCTTCAATGCATCTATAGAATATCGAGTTGCGGTTAAAGGAACAACTGAATCAGTATCGCCACTGCAAAGGATGTTAGATTATCAGAAAATCAGATTCTGATTGAGATAAGCTGAAAAAGGTAAACATTATCAAAGTTGTCTGTGCTGACGAGTCATTTCTGCATAAACCGTGATGATTCAAGATGACACAAACATATCAGTTCATCCTATGACTTAGTTGGAAGTAAAGATACAATATGAGACGTTTCCAGCTCGCCTTTCATACTTGATATTCTTCATTTGAAAAGCCAAATGAATGTTGCCAACAAAAATCAGCTATATATAATGAGTAAAGATGGAAAAAGTACTGTATTCAATTATAATTCGTAGACACTTCAGAAAAAGAGAGTATAATTGCAGTAATGGATGTATAATAGTGCAAAACAGTCCAGAAAAAAAAGTAATGGATGTACAATAACCAGCAAATAGTAACAAAAACAACAGTTAGTAACACTACTGCACCAAAATAATCGTAGTTGAAGTACAAGAAATAACAGATAGTAATAGAAATCGAAGAATAAGAAACTACAAGGATCATTTAGTATAAGCTTTTCACTAGCTGCCTATGAGCTTAAATTTCAACTACTTTGATGATAAGTACATGCGTAAATATCTCTTCTATGAGATAATGGTAATCAGTGAATTTTTAAAATAATTGAACCATAGGAAAGATTCATTTTCAGAATCAAACGCCATTCTTTGCTTGATTCAAGTGCTTGTTGGAGATGCAATAGGGAGATCTTGACACTTGACTTTACATAGTAATACTAGTTTTAGTGTCCAAGAATAATAAATCACCAATAAGAGAGAGAGAGAGAGAATAAATGAATAGGCTACTATACCACCAATTTATGGTATAGTATTCATGTCACTTCCAACTGTAGATAGTTAAATAATTTTGGAAAGAGGGTACCGAAACTTGAAAATGGGGTCCAATAACACAATGATAATAGAGGGGCAAAAGAAGATGTCAAAAGGAGGACAGACTTAGTTTACCTGAATACCCATATCCTGAGACCGGCCGCTATTAGCTCTTGGTAGATGGGAAGCATTGACAAAGGAGAATCGTCCCAGTAGTCTCCGACAATATCACTGGAAACCAAAAATAATCTTATTAAAAGTTATCAACAAGTTTGAAGATAGGAAACTTGAAACTTCAATAATTTTTTCAACAGACCTGCATGTTTTCCAAGGATAGGCAATCTTAGTTACATTAGCATGGAATGCCTTTTGTACCTCTGGGAGATTAAAATAAACATCAGAGTACCTCTCGGTACATGGATCATATGCTCTGGACATCCATGGCTACATTTTTGAAACAGGAAGAGAAGTTTAAAAACTTGAACGCCCACGTATTAAATTGAGGACTTCCGGACTACCATAAGGATATAAATATCAACATTAGATGTACAATACTAAACGGTGAAGTTCAGAATGATTAAAAAAATTCACACTTAAATAGGTTTGGAAACAACAACAAACAACAATATACCTAGTGTAGTCTCGTAAGGAAATAGGTGTGGAAACATTCTTAACAAATAGAAATCTGACACACTAGCAAAATAAGATAGGAGGATTACTAGTTAGAAAGGAGATTTAAGGGAAATTGATGATACTTCAAATACTCTCAATCGAAAAACTAAATTGAAGAGGCACTCCTCCAAGAGAGTTTACTAAGCTAAATGAAGCTATCAAAGAAAAAGTCCTAAAATCACAGATAGACCGTTTGAAGAAAAATAAAAGATAACATACCTGCTAAAGTTATAGTTTCCATTTACTAGCAGTGTCTCACTAAAAAGGAATCGTTATTACTCACTACATGAGAAAGATACTTTAATGTTTGTGGCTCTCTCTCTCTCTCTCGCTCTCTCATACATGAACATGACCAAACAAGTATTTCAAATGAAAATACAAGCACCTAGATAATAAACATTCAGCGCCTCTGAACCATTGAAAATGCAATCTTCCTGGTATAACTTAACTGTTGAAGGACACCAGCATAAAACACTGATCCACTGAGAAAGGGGACATTTCTTTGCTAGATGCATTCATTTTGACAAAGGATTAAGAACTTCAAAATTTTCCACAAGGTGAAAAAGAAAAGGGTAGTTATGTTTTTGAATCTTTGATGGATGTAAGATTTTGGTAAAGCTAACAACTTGCATGTCAGGTACCAGAAAGACAGTTCTACTTCAGATTGAGATATCAATTCTAAGTATGCACAATTTCAACATATTGTCTAAAACTCCAAATCTTTCACATCGCAGGAACTTATCTGTTTTTGTGAATTTTTTTTAAGCATGCAGTAATGTTTGTCTGGTCATTTTAGCAAACTAAAGTTTTGAAAGTGTGCAATTATCATAAGTAGTTCATCTCATCACTCTTTAACGACTTTCGCTGAACATTCTACAATTACCTACATTTGCCATCTATAAGTGGAGTGAGAAGAGAGCATAAAAAGTAAAGACTCACATAATGACCCCTTAGGTTGCGATGAAGTGCATTAGTACTGGCACAAGGACGAGTATATATGCTATATGGGTCAATATTTCCCTGCTCATGTTCTGCAATAAGAAGAGCTTTAGTACAATCAGCAGAAGGATGTTCAGAAGATCCCGTGTCACATGTTGTCTGTAGAAGCTTGTACGTAGAATCCGAAATCAAGCCATGAGTCCACCAGTACTCGAACGTGCCGACATAGTCATGGTAATCATCAGTAACAGCATTTCCAACCTAAAAAGACCATAACTTAATATTTACGTAATATTGCATTATAAACACTCAAAAAACTGCTACTACCATAAAGCCCTTGAAATTAATAATTGGGTTCTGGATTCCCTTATTCCTCTGGTAGACAAGTTGAGATAGCTGCGGAACATAATGCCCTAAACACGTGGAAGAAAAATGGAATTAGTATCTCATGATATTAACAAAGATGGATCCCATTAATCAATGTGATACAAAATACCTGCATAACTTTCTCCCGCGATGTAAAATTCTCTATGCTTGTACTGAGGAAACCTTTCAAACCACTTGATAAGAAACTGGTAGGTATCTTCAGCTACAAATTGGAAGGCCAAGGTTCAGCATTTCATCTTAAACAACGTAATCATTTCCATTAAAAAAAATTCATACAGCGTTTTGTACATTGGATTGACTTCTTGAAAAAAAAAATGAGATAAGGTTCAAGTTTGAAAAAGTGGTTTTGACCAATTTTTTTAAAAAATCCACTCAAAAAATTTCAACTTTTTTTCAAGTTAAATGCATATCCGAACACAACTCGATTTCCAAATATCTTTATTCAACTTTTTCTCAAGTTAAATGCGTATACAAACACAACCCGATTTCCAAATATACTTCTTCAACTTTTTTTCAAGTTAAATGCATATCCAAATACAACTTGATTTCCAAATACCCTTTTTCAACTTTTTTTCAAGTTAAATGCATATACAAACACAACTCGATTTCCAAATATCCTTTTTCAACTTTTTTTCAAGCTAAATGCATATCCAAACACAACTCGATTTCTAAATACCCATTTTCAACTCTTTTTTTTCAAGTTAAATGCATATCCAAGCACAACTAGATTTCCAAATATCCTTTTTCAACTTTTTTCCAAATACTACTTCTTTTCAAATACCAGGTTTTACGTTCAAACGCCTACTATGAATCTTCAAGATTCTCACATCGAAAGCACACAACATAATGACTAACATTCAATTACTCAATCATCCTTACCTGTTCTTTGATCACCAGCATCATACAAATCTGAGGAAGTATTTGTATAAGAAAAACCAACTCCAGCTGGTGATTCAAGAAAAAGCAAATTCGCCACTGCCAACCGACAACAACAATTCGATTAACACAAAC